AAAAAAAAAATAATTTTAAAAGGCAATTTTTAATAAAATAAAATAAAAATAAAATAAAATAAATTGGTTAATATACATATATAGAGATATATTTTTATATTTTTCTAGCTAAATTCACTCAGAATTTTTTAATTAATTAAGTAAATGATTTTAGTTAAACGAATATGTGTGTTTTTATGCCTCCGGCCTATTGGAATTGGAGTTGGAAGTTCATTTTCAGTGTCCCTTCAGTTCAAGTCTTTGCAACGATGATTAATGTCATCGCTTAGCTTCATTGAATGCCAACTGTCACCTGCAAAATGTGGCAGTCACTGTGCCTCCTTCATCTTCACTGTGCATTCAGCTCTTAGTCAAGCCGGGCTTAGTGAAAGGCCTAAAATCTCAGCGAGCAATTATTTGTTCCCCAAGTACTAAATGCCTGAAAGTAGGCAATAAAAGGCGTAGCACCCAAAGCCTTTTTCAACACTAAAAGCTACTCAACGCTCCCCTTCTTTTTTTCTCTGCAACTAATTGATGAGCAGCAAATGGCGCGTACGGCAGGAAAAAAAAAGGACGACGGAAGAAGCGGAAAAGTGAAGAGCAAAATGTGAGCAGAGAATGCAAAAAAAGGGCTCTTACCGTAGGCAACTGTCAAGCGAGATCTTTGGGCATTGCTCAAACGCTTTGCGAACAATTAAAGGTGCAGCCAAAATGGCTAAATGACAGAAAGTGGCTAAAAGTGGCTAGAAATAGCTACCATTTAGCCAAAGTCCTTGAGCTCCGGGCTTTAGAAATTAGAATTAATATTTTTTCGCTGAGTTAACACAATTTCAAGTTGGTTGCGCGACCAAAAACTGAATAACGGTCAGCTCTTCTTCTGGATGCTGTTGTTGTTATTGTTAGCACCTGTGTGTGCCTATACTGGTGTGTGTGTGTGTGGGTGGGTGTTTGTGTACTGCTGCTCCTGCCAAGGGAAATGTAAGCTTTTGCACGTCTTGTGCTGAGCCAGCTGCAACGATGGCAGCTGCAGCTGCGCTGATAATAAATTCATGATGAAGTGCAATTTATACACTTCATATGCGAGCCCCGGCTGGACCCAACCCACCCAACCAGCCGCCTTGTCCACTCTTTCTGCTGAGCTTCGCAACGTCCAAACAGAAAAAGGCGAGCGAGTGGATGAGGGAGAGAGAGAGTGAGAGAGAGGGAAAAAAATAATTTCCAAGTTTTTCCCAGCGATGCATTAAGCCTTGAAATGTTTGCGGCTAAAACTAATTACGAATGCGACGTCTCTTGCTCACCCGCAAAAGTTTTCCTTGGCCAAAAGTGTTCGCAGTATGAAAATGTTCCTCTTTGAACGCAATTTCATTTGCAACTAATCTAATTTTTAGTGCATTTTCTTTCGTTTGCTGATTCTGCATTCTGTAATTCTCCAATTCTCTAATTCGGTATTCAGCGTTGCAGTTCGCCTCTGCATGCAAATGAGCTGGCCCTTATGTATCAGCCAATTTGTGCACCACGCCCACAAATGCGCCGCCACCCTTCACATCTGAATATTCTTCATCATGCAAATGATTTCCTTTCGGCCAGGCAGATGGCCAGGTGGCCAGATGGCCAGGTGGCCGGTAATGGACTTGCAATAGGCTCGTCTCTTGCATATATTACAATTCGACGCATATATTGGTTGAGCGCAATATTTCCTTTTGCTATATTAAAGATGAAAATGAAATTTTGGTGTAATTTAATTATGCTCAAATTATTTGTAATGAGAAAATTCAATTTTCACATGACCCGAATAAGTTTTGACGTGTCCAGGCGAACTGTAATTGAAACACAGCTAATTGAATTATGTCAAAGGCAACTGCAAATGATTTTCTTTTTAATTAGTACTTCAATTAGACTCAGAATTTCTAAAATAAATATGTCATATATGTATATATTTAATTATTTGCTTAGTATTCAGTCAGGTAACTCTTCTTATATCAATGTGTTGATTTTGGCATATAAAAGAGTTGGAGACTTTAAGTTTTACATTAGCTTAATTCAAAGAGCTATGTCTTTGAAATAGAATATCATCATCAAAAAATAATAAATTTTCTTAAAATTGGGGAAATTTGCGGATTAACCATATTATTTATCGATCTACTTGGTTTGCTAACTTGTTAGGATTATATTTTATTTAAGCTAAAAGCGGACAGACAAATTGAGTCATTTTCATTTCGTATTTTCTTATTTTAAAAATAATTCAATATATTTCATGTTGGCTTATTTAATCGTTTTATTTTATTTGAAATTACTTACTAAATATGAATAGAAAACAATACATTGCAATTAATCGCAATTGATTATTTGACTAATATTTCTTCCATATTCCATCGAAGTTTAATATTTAAATTGCACTTGGCCAGCATCTGAACACTTTTCTCTATTAGTACCATAGCCACAGCACAATTTAGTTAGCCACACAATTGAACCTTTCAAATCATTTATAATTTATTCGATTCATGTTTAATTACTGTAGCAGTCAATTATTTGGTATCGAATTAAATACAGAGGTAAATGTGCATTGAACAGAAAGCAGAGAACTTTTAGTTCAGAATATACATATATAAATACTATGTGTATATATAACTATATTCTCATTGCACCAATTTGATTGCCTGGCCCGCATTTTGTATGCCTAATTTGGTACTCAAATTATGCACGCATAATAACAAATATTTATATTAGTGCACGTGTCCTTGCAGTGCTTAATCTGAACTATTAATGCGGAGCAATCTTGACGTTCTTACACAAAAACAGCTTTTGAATATAATTCAGAATATGTTAAGTTTGTCAAAGCAATTTGTGTATAAGTTAAGAATCAATTTAAACTTCATTGTTCATAAATTTATAATTTGCTTTAATAATAAATTCGTTGCAATTCAAATTATTTCTGTCATGCATATGTCACTAAGTTTCTTGGATAAAGATTATCGTTATTCCATATGCAATTGAAATATATTTGTTAATACAAATTTTACAAGTATTTCTTGCCATTCATATATCTAAAAACAAATTTATAAATTATAGTCAGTCTGAAAATTTTGCTTTTTATTTATTTGTTTATTCATTTATTTATTATTTTTTTTTTTTTTTAATTTAATTAATTTCTTTGAAACCTCTTAAGAGAGACTCAGTAAATATGAAAATAGCTGGAAGACTCAATGTAAACGGTCTTCATATGCACGTACACGTACACGGAACACAAGTCACGCATAACAACCAAAACCAAAAGTTTTGGCTTCATGTAAATCAACCAAAAGGTTGGGGAAATTCAGAGCGAAAAAAAAGTTTCTATCCGATCGCAAACGAACTCGTTGAAGAGCCGGCACGATGGGTTGATCTCGGAATGTTTTCTCAGAGTGGTAGTAAAAGACATTAAAGAGTTATTTGTATGATTTTTTTCTAGGCAAATACAAACTTTTAAAAACAATCATATAAGTAAAGAAAATTAAAAAAAAAAAAATAAAAACAAACAAAAAACAAAAAATAAAAATAAATGAAATAAAATATATATTCCAATTGAAATAGATATAAGTTTTATGTATCATATATGCAGAGCAAAATCTTTGCAGAATGTAAGTACCTAATACTTACATTACATAAAGTTATTCTGTATAATTAAATATGTGAATTTAGTGAATTATTTTGTTAACGACCTTTCTCTGTGAATACAAAAAGTCTCTGCATCTTGATATTGTATGAAGTGGCTTCACTAAGCCACTTTAAGAGCATCGTCGGCATTCACATTCCTCCCATTGCATTTCAATTAGCATATCAATTAAGGGAATATTCAAAGAGTCAGTGAATCTCCTTCATGCTTAAATTGTCAACCAAGCGCATATAAATTTGATAATTGATACACATCATGATCAACTCGCGATATTTATTATTATAATACCAAATTAGAGTGCTTAAGACTAACAAAAAACTGCGCAATCATGTGGAGGCAGAGCTTAAGGTGAGATCTGTAGACCATGTCCATGAGCATGACGATTGCCAGCAAAGGGCAGCGACACCAGCATGCTGAACAGCTTTCTTCTAAGAAGCGAAGGTGGAGAGAGATAGAGAGAGGGAGAGGGAGAGAGCAAGCAAGAGGTGGCATTGTAAGAAAGAGAAAGAGAAAGACACATTTGATAAGCTGATTATAAATTTGAAGATTCTTTGTTTATTGATTCGCTTACAAGATGGAACCGGAGTTGCGTTTGCTGCGGCACTTGCCCTGCGCATCGCGGAACTGATGGGCACGACAGCGGGTGGGCGTCTCAGCTGGTGCGGCACGTTGCACTTTGACCTTGAATATGGGCGAATCGTGACCCTTTCCGGGCGTATACTCTATATGGGAGGGATAGGGCGAAGCAGTTGCAGCTGCAGCAATCGGTGTTCTCGATGTTGTTGTCGTTAGGGGCTCGTCTTTGGAGCGCGCATGCAGCCATTTGGGCAACAGCGTCGATGGTCCGCCTATGGGCGTCTCCATGATAATTAAATTGCTCGCCTTGGGCCGCAACCGCTGCGTCGCTGCAATGTCTGCCAAGAGCTGAGCGCTGTATGTGCTCATATTGCTGCTGGGCGTTGGTATCGATGCAGCAGCAACAGCAGCAGCTGCCGTTGGAGCGACAGTTGTTGGTTGAGTTGCTGTAGGTGTGCTTGATGTTGCTGCTGATGATGCTGTTGGTGTTGCTGCTGTTGTTGTTGTTGTTGCAGCTGCCGCTGCTGCTGCTGCTGATGGTGTTGTGCTGGCTTCAGTGGTAAACTTGATGGGCTTAATGGTCAGCGCATTATCATCATAGTAATAATCATCGTACTCCTCATTATACGATTCCTAATAATATGAAGAAAAAGGCAAATATAAGAGTTGCCATTGGGCATAATCAACTGCAAAATACTCGTTCAAGGTTGAAATATAGTTAAATTCAAAGTAAATTTGCCCTGCAGAGAAGATCCTATAAGATATTCGCTATTATATATATATTTTAATTTACTAATAAAATAAAGTAAGACTTTCAGAAATCTGAAATCTAAACTTTTCAGCTTAGATATCCCTTAAGAGCAACCATATGCTAAAGCTTATCCTATTAGAGATGGAAATCTACCTGACAGAGATCTACGTGAAAGAATGATTTGATCCTCGATCTAAAGTCTTTAAGATCAGAAGTCACCAAGTTTTTCAGTTAGACATTCAAATTATATATTGTGAATCCATGGTTGACATATTTTATATATGTATTTATAGAGTATAGAGTACATATATTTTCAGATTTGCCCCATTGACGTTATGTAAGAGGTAAGACAAGAGTAGCCCAGTTCGAGCTCCAAAATTATAGAAGTTAGAATATTTGCAATTATAATTTCAAACCATGGAGCTTTTTTAACTATATTCCTTAACACAGTAACATCAGTTCATGATATCATACAGCAATGATTTCATTCCCCATTTTCCAGACCCCTATCTCTCTATATAGTCCAAATCTAATTACCAGGTGTACTGTCTTCCATTAAACTAATATACTCCTCTCACATCATGCACAAGTATAACAAGTTATTTTTAGCCAACAATCATCGTTCAACTTGTCGCAGCCACATTCCAGCACAAATACTTACATCGGCCAGCTCATTTTGATCCACCTCTATGATGGCCACATCCTTGATGCTCACGTGTATATTGTATTTGCCCGTCTGGCGCTGATCGTAGAGCGCGTGAGACGATTCATTCTCCTCGGCTGCTTGCTGCAGCGGCTGCATTTGAACGTGCAGCACGCCAAACGTTAACAACATCAACGACGACAGCTTCAGCATTCTGCAGGAGATTGAGTGATGCGAGAAACCAGTTCTTGGGCAGTAGCTGTTGCAGTTAGTCTTTCAGTCTGTCTTCCACTCAACACGATTTTTTCAGAACTGCTGGCTTGAACGATGCGCGAGCAACTGAGCTGACCAGCCACTCGGAGGGCTCTACTTAAAGGTTCTCGATGGCACCTACTTAGCTGCCGAGGTGTAAGAATATGTGTTATGTGCTGCAAGAGGCGCGACCAAAAGTGTCAGCTGCTGATAAGCTTAAACGAGTTCTGCACATGTCTTACTGCTACAAGAAGAAACTTTTTATCGAGTCTAATTTGGCAAAGAAAAGTATTTTTGATCTCTTAAGTAAACGTTTAAGGTTTGGAAGTTGGGTAAACAAAATAAATGAAGATGATGAAGCTATTAATTAAGAGTAAATTTATTTCTATCTTCTAATTTATAATGAAAACTATCATGCAATGAGGCAATGTTCTTTAATGTCAACAATATTTCTAAAATATATACAGTCGACTCTTGTTATTTCGACCCTGCGTTATTTCGAACCTCTCATTAATTCAAAATTATCACTCAGTAATTCGAACTAAAAATCATTGCTAAGACATATGGTTAAACACTCAACAATTCGAAATATTTTAAGAGTCCCTTGAATTTCGAAATAACGGGATTCGACTGTATGTTTATAAGTAAAAATTGCCTAAATATTGGGTTGCCAACATCTTTCCTCCTTTTTTTCTGATATATAAAAGTATTCCTTATTTTTCTATCAAACTTTAAAATAATTTCAACTACAGTTTATTGCTCTATCCCAAACATTAAACGCTTGGTTCCTTCTGAAAATATTTATATTTAATTTTAAAAACTCTCTGCGAACTCGACACTCATAAGGAAGGGCTTGCTATTATCAGAACTATCCTTTTTTTGTTCAACAACAGTTAACATCAATATTTACATGCACTATGCAAATGCAAACACTCGAATACCATCTTAAAGGTTCTCGAGGCTCTCGAGCGGTTGTGAGGGCCAGCTAGGTGGTTGAGAGGGGGCGGCTGAGCGGGGGCTAACCGCATGCAATGTGTACCCATGTAATTTGAGTTGAGTGGTCAGCATGAAATGAACCATCAAGCAACACCAACTAAATGCTCAACTGCATCTAATCATAAGCGCAAACAGCTAACAGCACGCACAAATAGTTCTCGACACTTGATCGACGAGCTATGAGCTCTGATTGGCGTGAGAACTTATTGGCTACAAAGTGGGTGTATGCAAATAGAGAATGGCTTAGAATTTAAAATGTTATAGATGCTGTGGAATAAATGACTATTTGAGGAGGTCTTTACCTCCTAAAGAATAGAATAGAGGAATTCTTTGTTACGAGCTTTGTATGTAGGAGAGCAAAAAGCGAAGTTGAAAACAGAAAAGTGGAAATGTACTTAAGGAAGTGAAATTTAAGTAGAAGATGAAATATATAGAAAAATATGTTGAATAATATATATATGTAAATAAATTTAGTTTAATTTAGTTATCCATATGGCAGATCTAAATTGATTTTAGATGTGTTTAGAATAGTCGGTTGGTTTTTAAGTTTATCTTAAAATTTTCACAGCTTTTGTCTTAAATATGTTCATATTCATATACTGTTAAATTAAACTATTTTAAATATTAATTAATGATAACATAAAATTGTGTTGAATGTATTTAATAAATTTAAGTATTAATTAACTACTGTTTAAGGATGATATTTAATATAAACAAAAAAAAAAAACATATTTTAGCTTTTATATAATATACGTATCGTAAATTAAGTCAATTGCCTTCACAGCTTTGCTGTATATTAAATACAATAATATAATAATAATAAATAAAAGAAATATTTTATAAATATGCTTTCTACGTTTACCATAAAAAATTAAAGCTCAACTCTTTAAAGGTTCAAAAATTAAAGGCATTTATTTAATGACACAGACGTTTCACATTTCCTTTTAGTTTGAACTGTTAATTTAAGCAAATAAATCTGATAATATTTACAGCAGAATTTAAAACACTTTCAATGTTCGCCGTCAGCGCGTATTTTAATTTACACTTTCCATTTCGTTTTTGTTTTTCCCATTTCCTTTTCTTTTTTTTTTTTTCTTTTGATTGCTTTTGGTTTTAGTAAAATGTAGCTGGTTTTTTGTAAGAAAAATGTTCTTTAATTGAAATTGATGAATTGCACTGGCAGTGGCATTTATTTACTTAATTGAGGAGTCAATTGCATTTTGTAACGGTGAATGCAATGCACAGCAGTTTTTCTTACACAGGCAACAGCAGGATATGTCGCTCCCGCACCTATCCCAGCGAGAGTTGCGTTTGGGATGCATCGTTAAATCATTTTTCATCTTTATATAAAATGATTTTTTTCTCCGTGTATACAAATATGTGTTTGTGTGTGGGTGTTCTTATATACGTGTATACATTAATTTGTGTTTGTAATTTCCGCCATTGCGAAATGGCTGATGGGGCAGCTGCAATTGCAACACGACAGCTGCAACTGCAACTGTAGCTGTAATTGCAACTGTTGCATGCGTGGATGTGTGCGCACGTGTGTGTGTGTGTGTGTGTGTGTGTGTGTGTGTGTGTGTGTGTGTGTGTGTGTGCATCCCTGTACGCAGTGCACTAATTAAATTAATTGCTTAATTTTAACTTAATTTGCCACATGTGGCAAGTTGTGTTCGCCTCGTTTTGTTTGCCCCATTGCTCACACGTGCATTTGCCTTTGCGCTTGCTCCTCCTGCCAGCCAATTACTGCACGTTCTCTTTGGATAACCATAAAATTTGGTTTGTTGCCATAACAACAACAACAACAACAACAGCAGCAGCAACAACAACAGCAACAACATCATATGTGTCTCTGCGGGTGTGCATGTGTGTGCGGTTGGCTAAGTGTGTGAGTGCGCTTTAGTTGGGGTTTTTTGCATGGCTAAACTTTAACACCTCTATCACTTGGTCAAGTTTTAAATGCTATCATGCCTGAAAAACAGTTTGAAAGCATCCAAAGGAATACGCCACACGAATTTCTCATTATTCTTTGAATAAAACATTTTAATTGTGCAATAGTTATGAACATTATGAAGACATGGCATCTCTAACAAAGACAAAAACTATGAAAATAACTTTAAGCTGCAAGTATTATAAAAAAAAGTTGCAGTAAAATTTTGAATACATTTTTATGTAAGAAATTTTATTAATGAAATTTTAGGCCATTAAATATTTTTATAATATAAAATATTTTAATAA